TTATTCAGGGAAAATATCACGGTCATTGTCTGAAGGCTTATTGGAGTTTGAATCAAATCGAAGCGTTTCATTTTTCCATTAAAAAGCCCCCCTTTTCTCCCCGCACACTCCTTAGACATGGATTTACACACGGGGTTAGATGTAACACATCTCTAAATTAATATGGTAATGGAATTTATCGTGCTTACACGTTTCATTATGAATGCCGTATATTTGCAAGATATTTTTTTGGCGATGTTTTATTCACATGACCTTACAATCCCGGCCACAAACCAAGCCCCTCACACCACCAAAGACAACGATTCCCGGTGTAGCCTGAACAGACTGTTGGGGCAAGTGCTGTTAGCGAGCACCTATGAAGGTCGGCACGGAACACGAGGGGGTAGGTGGTCAGCACCACGCCCAGACTTTGCCTCCTGAGTGGCGATGTTGACACACCGCAACAGGTACTCATTTGAGGCTGGGTCGACCTAGGGGGGGGGGAGGCCCAGGACCGGTTCAGATAACCGTGAGCAGGAATCGAAACCCGGGTCGCCGGGTTTGTAACGCAGCACGCTAACCGCTGCGTCACCGTTCCCACCACCACCGCTCTGCACCATCACCGCTCACTCACCATCACCGCCGCCGCCCTCAATTTCCCCGACAGTCGCAAGTCTGCCAATCACAATCCCCAGCCATGGTCAATGCACTTTCTGGATGAAAGCCACAGTCTTGCACTGATCGACACGAATCGCAACACCGCGGTCAAGTCCGGGGGGTTTGCCGGGGCAAAAGGTTGACAGGAACACGCTTTAAATCATATCTTCCTCCTTGCAAAAGGGCGCTCAAGAATGAAATCTGCAAAAAACGAGTTGGATTCCATCACAAATATCTACCTATCTGGAAGAGAGTGTGTGCAATGACGGCATGGCGATCTATCTACAGACACGCCACTGATTTCTTTATGACCATTGGCTCTTAATTTCCTTCTCAACAAGCCGATTGAATCTCGCGAAAGCGACGGCTCCACGTCTCACGGAGGAGAGCGTTAAAGGAGTTAATGAGCGAATTGAGATTGGTGGGAGGCGTGTAGAGCCCATGGAATAACATGTTAGGTTCTCTATACAAGTGTTCTTAACTAATTTTCAGAGGGGGCCGCCACGCATTTGAAACCATTGGGGTTTGACAGCAGCACGATGATGATGATGATGGGGGGGGGGGGGGGGGCGCACGTCAGGGGCCACACTAAATGCCACCAGGGGCCACATAAATGCCACCAGGGGCCACACTAAATGCCACCAGGGGCCACATAAATGCCACCAGGGGCCACACTAAATGCCACCAGGGGCCACACTAAATGCCACCAGGGGCCGTCAGTGGCCCCCGCGGGCCTTGCAATGAAGAACACTGCCCAATATAATCTACACCATATTTTAGTGGGGTATCTCTAAATGGATCGATCACCCTGTGCTGCTGTGGTCACCGCTCATTGTTTTTGATCGTCGTTGTACCTCATTTTGCCCATGAGGTGGCGAGATGATTGCAAGTCGTGGATGGAATCAGCTTCCGCTCACATGTAAACATTGAACGCGATAACGTCATCTCTGAAAGGTTTAAGCCGTTTCGCAAACGTTGGATAAATGTAACTCGCGTTTAAAGTGAAGATGCAAATGTATAATTTTGTCTGTGGCCACAATATGGCGCCTTAAAAACCGTTAAAACGTTGTTGTACGTGTGCCTATTTTGTTTGAGCGTAACTTATGCGGTGACAGGGGTAAAGGCGCAGCCCTGCAATTGTCAGCTCACGCCAATGCTGATTGACGGGCCTCGAAGAGAGGGCGCTCGAGAGCCCCCTCCCCCCCCTAGAGGGAATTTGGCCTCTTCTTCCTCATTCACTTATTCCCATGAAGATACAATCGTAAACTCAGCTCGTCCGTCTTCGAGTGAATCATTAAAACTAAACACATTTCTCAATGACACTCCCTTAAAAAAGGTTATTAAGTGACGTCTTGGACAACAACCCTTCGCAGCACATCGAGAGGCCAGAGAGTGTATGTGCTGTGAAGGGCCATTGCCCGAAACGTCACCTATAATATACTTTTATTTATTTTAAGGCCAGTGTTACCGACTTGGCTGTGCTTATGCACCACTGCCAACACAGCAACATCACCAAACACCGACTATAATCACCCAGGAATGTCTGTCCTTAACGCTCGTGACGTCACTCCACATAGACCAGCCCCCCTTATTAATATTCATGTGCAGGTGACGTCCTCCACATGGACCCCCCTCATTAATAATGATGAGCAGTTGACGTCACTCCACATGGAGCACCCTCCCCCATCATTAATAATCATGAGCAGGTGACGTCCTCCAAATGGACACCCCCTCCCTTCATAATAATTAGCGGCTGACGTCACTCCACATGGGGGGGGGGGGCGGCGCCTCCCCCCTCCTCAGCGCCAACTGACAACCCTCACTACAGAACCCTCATGTCACGTGATCTCCGTGACGCTGTTGAGACATCAAAGTAAAAAGGACGTCACGATGAACAAGGGATAATAACCTTTAAATGAAATAGGTCTGTGTCACCGCGCCCTTACAAATTACACACGAATGGATGCAATGAATATATCACGTCGCGGTCTGCTTTTCGCTTGCAAGTTTCAGATTTACTGCAATACATCCGTCCTCGGACGGGCAAATGGCTAGTCATTTATAAATGTTTTCAAAGTCACTCAAAAGATGGAGAGAAAAATAACCTACGGCAAAATGTGAAGAAAAAAACATTCCAACAGTGACATCATCCAGAGCTTCAGACCTCAATGTCAAACTCTTTCACACCTAAAAAAAACCTAATTCCCATTCCCCGACTCGCAATCCAATTACAAATATATATTTCCCCTCCATACCGCGAAATTGAACGACACAAATTTGACACCTGCGTGAACAACGTATAGTAAAACACTCTCATGCATAACTATAACCGGTGATTCTTCTTGTTTAAAACTGCAGGGGCAACGATGCACAATTCACTGACCCGGATGTGATGTGTTTTTGATGTTTTTTTATTGTTTTAAAGGCTGCATGTTTCATTGCCGACACGTGTACATAAATCGCCACCCCATTTCATTCCGAGCGAAACTTCTCGATACAAAAAAAACGCAAACTACAAAATTTTCTTGTATCAGCCTTGGCAAAAACGTCTCGCTATTTAAAGCTTTTTAGTTGATTTTAAAACCACTTGGCCACACCCGCCCCGTGATAGTTTTGCCTTCGTTCGAATCCAATTCTCAATTAGGTCAACATTAACCGTGTTACGAGGGGGTCAACATTCGAAGAGAAAATTGAAATTTGGGGTAAAAAGGGACTTTTTTTTCTAGCAAACGACTGATAATAAATGCCCTCAATGAGCTTGATTAATGCTGCTCAAATAATTTGAATGTTGCATTCAAAGGTTCACAAAGGACGGAGAACATTCATTCCCATGCAGTACGGTTAAATAAACACATAATTCAAAAGCGTCTCCGACAAGGTTGCACACAGTATAAAAAGCCACACATTTATTGCACAAATTATTTTAGATTTTTTTTAAATCATATATATTTTAAATTGTACATACATATATTGTTTTTTTACAAACCCTGCACATGCCGTAAAGTGTAAATACAATTTCCATACAGTTTTTTGTACTATTCAAAAAGTAGTAATTCTACGACACAGCACGACAAATATTGGAGTTGAGACAGCCTCACCGCTCGACAATTCATGCACGCTAATAAAGTGATCTCATCAAAGAGTTCCTCCTGTTTTTCAGTGTGGATGAAAATACTACTTTCCCAAATACATTCATTTCATTTAAAGAGAGAGAGAGACAGAGAAAGCATTTTTTTTTAGAAATGCGTCATTTAAAAAAAATCCAAGAAATGATCCATTATTAGCAGGAATCTGCACACTCGTCTAAGGTTACGATATTTGTGTGTTGTTCATTTGATGAATATAGTAGTGATGAGGTCGGTGGCCGAGATTGCGATGGAGTAATAGCTACCATTGCACAGACGTCGAGTGATGATGTATTTCCTATCCGGTGTGCGTTTTTTTTACTTAAAGATACATTATAACGTCTACAAAACTTAAAGCAAACGCACTCTTAACTTGGTTGCATGTTTGTTGTGGGTTATTTTCAACCGCTGGTTTCACTGCTTATAATACCGTTCATTAAATACAACAATCATATTCGCCATTATTTTATTTTTCTTAATTGTAAAAAAAACCCCTCACAGAGCATTACAAATAAAAACATCTAAATTGTTGTTAATGGCCTAAGTGTCCTTGCGTTACCGTTGTTGCTTAATTTTGGTGCAATTATGGTACAAAAAAATAAAGAAAATTACAGCGCATTATCTCGTGGCTCTTGACACGAGGCCGAGGGACATCGGATCGTGAGCCGAACCCCAGAACTTCGCTTCGTGTGCTGGGTGACAATGGGGAACCCCCCCCCACCCATCCTCTCCGCGTGCCACAGGGCCAAATTGTGTACACAACTGCCGGGCAGAATGCAAAATGCGAACCCTTGCCTCCCCCGCTGTTGTCCATCTCGCCACTGGGGGGAAACGTCTGTTCAGCAGCTTGTTCAGAATGCTGCCGAGAAACAAGGCCAACTTTGCCGCACAGCGCAACCGAGTGCATCTTAGCCGAATGCACACCGAGCTCGGAGGCCGTGCAAGTTGTACGTGCAGATGCGGCCTCGGGCGGCTTCGGGATGGATGACAGAGGCCCAATTTAAATATTTCCCTCGAGACTTGCACTTTCATTTGTAATTCCCCTCGAATCCTCCCGCTCGTGGTGCAAGCTGTTGGTACGGCGTGGGAGTGCCGCTGCACCTATGAACCCGACGAGCAGAGATCCACGACCCGGCAACGGCGAACATCAGTGGCGAGTGATGTTTCAGGTCCCCCAACCCCCCGCACCGGGCAACCCGCACTGACCAGCGTGGTGAAGCGTGGTAAACCTCCACCCCCCCTCCCCTGCCTCCGCCCACCCACCCAAAAACTGCTATGGCGTGGGGAAGCCTTCAACCATCGGTGGATAGAGAATGGCTGAAAAACAATCCTCTTTTTCTTGCAGGATTACTACACTGAAAAATTAATTAGATTTCCAGTTAAGGACATACCGTACCTGCTACGAAAAACAATCGGCGTAAATAGTTACCATTACCGTTCGAGTGATGTGTAGCAAATATGAAAAGAAAAAAAACCTAAGCTCTATCATTGTTATACGATTGCTTTATTGCAATAAATTAAGGTAAACATTATATGCAGTAATTATGTAAACCTGAAATTTATATCAGTAGTTTACAGCAAAATGGAATTAAGTGTAATTGATTTACAGTCATTTATCCGTGTAGAAATTACACATGTCAAGTAAAATAATATAAATTAACAGAAATACCCAGTGCAAAAATTGCTTTGATTCAACGATACCAGAATAAGCCACTCTTCTCAAGCCCTGGCAAGTTTTGCCACCTGCAAAACATCGATTCTATTCCTCTCTCTCACAAGCAAAACTACACCCAGCATCGTATCGACAGACAAAACGAACAGAACGTTTCGGAGAGAGAGAAAGAAAAAATGACGACAACGTACATCAGACTTTCAGCAGCAGCGAAATGTCCTTCAATGTCAACACAACCCTGTGCACACATCTTTTGAGAAAGAAGCACTTCCAATTTATTGTTTTCCTCCCACCTTTCATCAATGGCCTCTATAATCTCCCTGCCATCCTGGCAAGGAGACCACGGCTGGTGCAGTACGACTCTTGACGGTCATCCCAAAGGAAGGGATGGGAGGGGAGGGATGGGGGTGGAGTGGGGTATACGGGGAGGGGCAGAGGGGTATGAGCTCACTCCTCGCGGCACGTGGGCAGGTTGACGAACGTGAAGACGTTGAACTCGATGAGGATGGAGAAGCTGATGAACACCACGTAAAGCAGCAAACAGCCGAGGCCCAATTTCTTGTCGAGTCTCCACTTGTTGAGGCCGACGGCGAGCACCTGCGCACATGATGGGGAGAGGTGCGGGGGTGGGGGGACAGATCAGTCTCGCATGTCTATCCACTGCTGGATGATGGCCTCCACATACTGGCGTGCAAATCGTTTATTTTTCTTTCTTTGCACATGAAACTGTTTCCGAGTACAGGCCTAAAATGTCGAATGACCCAGCAAGCAAGCGGCAACAAAGATGTAAAAAAATGATGCGAGATCCCAGGCTAGATATCGCACTGGTCGGTACAACCTGAGGTTGCATAACTAGAGTGGTTCTCATTTGTTTCATGTAGCAATTAACGGTACATTGTGCGATAACCGTTTAAGATGGTTCATCAAGTTATTCATTCAAAGCAGCCGTATGGTATGGCTAAAGTTCTGCTTACCATAGGCGGTATACCAATTTTCCGCTCTGGTCAGTGGACTATGCATCCTTGTTATAGTTTTGACTATTAGATTATAAGGCACATTGATGATCATATTTTTAAAACAAATTAATAATGCAGTGTCAAAGTTATTTCTTATTCGAATGAGCATCGAGGCAGTGATCGTGTCCTGCCCACCAGCCCTGACTCATTGGTGGAAATTTCACAATCCTATGGTGGGGGTGTGGGGAGGTTGTAATTGTTATCGACCACAGAGAGATGATGATGATGGGCTGAGTAACCCCCCCCCCCCATATCCGGGATACGAACTCGCAAACATCCCCATATTAGAGCTGCTCGCTCTGCCGCCGCCGCCGCCGTAAACAATAATTCCCTCCCGATGGTAGATTTGCAGGCGATATATAAAAAAAAGTTTTGCTTCCAGAAAAAACAAAAAAAACACCCGATGTAGATTAATGTGTGTGTGTGGGGGTTACCATTTATCTGGATAAACCCGACTTAAAATAACCCGTGTGAGACGCTCACTTCTGCGCTCTTTGCTTTGGCACGTACGATCGCGACGTGATTATCAGCAGCCAGCCGCACAGATGGCGCGTTATGTAACGGCGGCCCATGCGGTGACTTCGCCGTGCGAGTCAGACGCAGCCGTCGTCAGGAGTACTGAGATCGTGTCCGCATTTCGGCCGTGCGACAAACGCCGACCTTGCCTCGAGTCGGAGCAGTTCGTACAAAAGTCAAAGATCCCCCGTGTAGCCTTAGCAGACTGTTGGGGGGCAAGTGCTGTTAGCGAGCACCTGTGAAGGCCGGCACGGCACACGAGGGGGTTGGGTGGTCAGCACCACGCCCGGCCGCCTTTGTCTTCCCAGTGGCGATGTTTACATGCCGCACCAGGTACTCATTTGAGGCTGAGTCGACCTAGGGGAGGCCCAGGACCGGTTAAGATAATCGTCACTGGGTGTTGGCCGTGAGCGGGAATCGAACTCGAGTCGCCGGGTTCGTAGCGCAGCGTAGTGCTAACCGCTGCACCACCGCTCCCCAGTTCGTACGCCTACACACGCATGCACGCGTCCATTCGGGATAACGCCGACGAAAGCTTCACGTCCGCGTTATATAAACTTTTACAACCGCCGTTAATGCATCGTAGCAATTAAGCGGCACTCTAATCAATGCGAGTTTGTCGATGTGACGTTTAATATTCCAACCGCGCGTAATGACTTTATATTCTTGACAAAAAAAAATTTCGACAGGGTCGTATTGCCATCGATTTGCAGGTCTCCTTCGAAAAATACACTCCTATTATCACGACGCGCTCTCTGACGGAAATGCCACGCCATTCAAAATGTAATCAGAATATTTTTCAAAATAAAGGTTTTTAGGTGAGATCGCGAAAGTTTTAATGTGTTGAAACCCTCCACCACCCGACACAGCCAATCAGTAAGGGATTTGTCACGTAAACAAAACGCCAAATAGTTACTACTTTCAGCCCACCGGTGTGTTGGAGAGTAAATCTACAACATTTACAATTTGAGTAGTACGACGTTTCGCTGGTAATTACATCCAGCATCATCGGGCGATTTTGCCAGAATAGACAAACCCATTACTAATTGGCTGTGTCGGGTAGTAGACCGGTTTCGACACATTTATACTGACGCGATCTAACCCAAAAACCTTTATTATTAATAATATTGGTCGCGAAAGCCTGCTATGTGTTGATCAGAATATTTATTTATACTGGAGGAATCCGATGAGCTGTACAGCTCTTTTCACAGATGTCCAGTATGGGCGGGCAAGAACGTTACAACAACAAACAGTACGAAAACATGATAGTAGTGCAAAGTACAGGAAAGGTAAACAAATCACAAACACCCAGGGGGTCACGTGTGATATTTACCATACTTCACCATACTGGTCAGTGCGGATTGGGGAAGTGTTGGGTGGGGGGATGTATCCTAATTATCTAGGTTTACAATAATCAGATTGTATTTACCGTCACTGATAAACGCACAAATATATTAACAAAAATTGCTTTTACCAAGTAAGGCCCACTAAGTTATAGAGCTATTTTTTAGAAGCGACCTGGCCACAATTGGTAGCTAAATGAAGTGGCTTATCAAGTGGAAAATGTAGAGCAGCCAAATACTCTAAACACATGATTCTCAATGTGGAGGGAAAATCGGAGGACCTGGAGAAAAATCCACGCAAACACAGGGAGAGCGAGAACACACAAACAGCAGGCGTCAGGGTCGGCATCAAACCCACGACCTTATGTATACCAGGCGAGGTAGTTAACATCTCGTCACCATGGCACCCCCCCCCCCCCCCCCCCGTGCAGACGCCACGGAGCGGTGACGCGGCCCAGCGGGTGTGGCGCAGAGGCGCGCGGTTCGAATCCAGCGGCCACCCTGATTAATACTGCGACGTGTGTGTATTAGCCGTAATAATCCTCTACGTGCTGTCTGCATCGCAGCAACGGACGTGAGAGGTCCCGTGGCGTCAGTCGCAAGAGTACGCCGTTGCGTGCCGACGTCGTGGTCCAAATCTATGCCAAATTAAAAAAAATACACTGCAAATTTGCCCGATTGGGATTACACATCCCAAATCACCCCCCACCACCTCCCCCGTGAAATTTTGGCAGAACGCTCCTGGAAAAATGTGATAAGACTCGGTGAGGCTTTTATGGTCAAACAAACGGAATAAATTACAAATAAATACACAAAAGTTTTTTTTGGCCAACAGCAGGGTATTGACTGAGTTTGTTTTCGTGATGCTGCCTTGCCCAAAATTTCATTTCGTCTTGAAAAATCGGCAGGAATTGATGTACTGTACTTACGTTATTTGTACTTGTATCACACCTCTGATTGTCATGGTTGGCTACGTACGGTGCGAAAGAAGTTCAACGTTCATCCTACAAAGTCCCATTGACAAGGGAGAATCACAAACAAATAGAATGTGTTTTTTTTTGCCCGTATTGAAACGGCTGTACACCGTATGGACCTGAAAACTCAATTTCCCTGTGCAACAATACGGGTAAACCGTATGGGTGTTGACAAGCATGCACACCACGCAGAGTCCCTACTCATTGTCTCAGAACTTTTATTATTTTGTATTATTATTATTGTTGTTGTCTATTTAGCCGAAATAATTCTCGACGGGAGGAGACGGAGCTGAGTGATGAATGTGAATGTGCGGTGATTGTACTCGTTTTGAAGACATCCACAACAAGATGCCTTGGAGATAGTTTATTGTAATGTTAGTGCTGCGGTCGAATTGTTGGATGATTGCTGTGCTGTAAGATACATAAAGTAAAACCTTGGATTGCGAGTAACTTGGTCTGCGAGTGTTTTGCAAGACGAGCAAATTTTTTTAATAAATATTAATTTGATAAACGAGCGACGGTCTTGCAATACGAGTAGTACGTATACGCTTTTGTCTGCCGAGCGTCACGTGATTACAACTGATACACGAGTGCTTTGATATACGAGTGCTTTGGATTACAAACACGTTTCCAGAACAAATTATGCTCGCAATCCAAGGTTTTACTGCATTTCGATGATTCAGACTTCAGTAAAGTATTGTAAATGAGCAATGGCTTGCTTGTACGTAATATTATATCTGAACTTGTACATTGTATGGTCTAGTTGTGAACTTGTATACATTGCGCATTGTGGGATGGATGTGTAAGTCTACACGATTGCAGTATCCCAAAGGGTGTAAGCAACGCTGTATTTCTCTTTGTTTCTTTCAGTTTCACAGTGGTGCCGACGAATATTGGATGTAGTTGCCTATTCTAATTGAACTTTAAAAGAGTTGTTTCAATAACTACAAAGAAGCGTAGGTCATTTTGTGTTCCACACACATTGTTGGGGACAGTGTTTAACTATCTGTACAGTCACGCACGACCAGACAGAATAATACTTTATTTATATTTATTAACTTGCTTAACTTTATGAGACTTTGCGCTCCTATCCGTGTTTTTGCATTCTTTCTTGTTGTAACTTTCTGACCCCGTGTTCCAAACTGGACATCTTTGGAAAAAAAAAAAGAGCTTCATAGCTCATCGGATTCTTCCAGGCTAAATACAAATTCTGATTCTGGAGTGATTGCAGAGCAACTACAGCGTGGGAATCAATGCAAGGGATACATACAGACGGAAAAAAACGAGAAGGGAGTTGAAACGCTCCGCAGCCTGCGTTCCCCTTCGAAACTCATGAGCGAGCAGTGCGCAGTTCAGGGAAACCTCCAAACTCCCCCGTGACGACGCCAGAGACGGTGTCGGCGGCAAATATCAAAGGTTAATCGCGACGTTTCAACAACGCGCAATAATAATAATTACTCCCAACATTTTAAAAATACATTGGACTTTTTGTTTTTGAGCTGCGTCACCGCGCGGGGGTTTGATAGCGGCGTAAGCGTCACTTGCTACCAGGATTTCCGACTGCTCCGCAGCATTTGCATTCAAAAAAATATTTTATATTTTTACAAAGTAAGGCCCCCACTGAGCCATATGGCTTTCAGAAGTGACCCGGGCACAAATGCGAGCTCAATAAAATGGCTTATCATGTGGATATTAATAGCACAATGCTCTAAATGCACGTGTTTATTATAAATGTGGAGGGAGAACCT